AACTAAAAGAACCCAACAGAAGGAATAAAATAAAGGGTGTTGTAAAGGAAACGGGAACACAACTGTCATTAGGGCTTTTAAGAGAGCCACTGAGAATCACTAACCTATTAGCCACTGCACACAGGGCACATGGCAAGAGTCTAAGGGCACAGCAGGGGCATTTACAAGAAAGGAAAGGCGAAGAAAATTTTCTAAGGTCACTGGATTGACTTCCTAAAACCTACTTAAACACACATACAGATTTTGCCCCTCGTGGGAATGTGCGGCTTCCCCTAACCTGGCTCTAACACAGTATTCCTGCTTTAAGTCCAAAGCTTTAACTGGAGAGGCCCTGTGAGTCTCAAAATGCAAAAACCAAACTCCCTTCTCATTCCCATCATCCAAAACGCACTTTTCCTCCTGTCACCCACCTAAGCAGCAGCTTTAAACGTGGGCACATGCTCCTAGCTGGTGGAAAAACAACCCGTCCAGTCAGCTCTTCCCTGACGGGAACCACGTGAACACCAAAGAATGCCCCATGCAAGTCCACACAGAGATGAAGTATTAAAATCCTCTTGGAAATAGCTGCTAGGCTGTGCTACCCAGCAGACAGGAACAGGGTCATGTAAGCCAGAGCTGGGAAGGAGCTGGGTACATCCTCTGGGCACAGCAGGCAGCAGAGGGGCTGAGACCTTGGGGCCTCCACAGCTCCCAATGGGACACAGCAGCAGCAGAGCCGCCATTTATGTTCTGCAGGGCCCTCACACTGCCTGGGTGGACAGCCCCACCCCAGTGCATCCTGGGAGAGAGGCGATGTCACCTGATCTCCTGAGGAGAGTGAGCAGCCCTGTCACCATCTGCAATCACACTGCTCATCAGAGTCATACAAACACATGCCTGTTTGGTAACAAAGACACAGTTCCGAATGTTAGAAATTTTAAAACCATGTAGGTACTCACAAACTAAAACCCTGAAACCTCAATTCGTGCTTCAGAAATGACTTTTTCTGTTAAAAGCATTCTCCTTAGTACTGAAAAATGAGTGACTTCCTCACTTGAGGAAAGACTTAGGAAAACTCCAGCCCAACACAAAACACAGTGAATTTCTGGCTGCCCCTTGCTATTATTAAGCACCCTTCTGTTTGACTAAGAATTTCTCCATCTCTCATAGACTTTTTTTTTCAGAAAAATCTGAAGACCATGTGTTTATAACGGGCCTGTTGCTATGCAAATCTTTAAAACACATTACAAAAATATTTCCTTTGAGTCAAGAGCAGAGAGTGGGAAAAGATGAACTGCTAGCAAGAGCCCTCTTACTGAACAGAAAGCCTGGCAAAAAGGCACAGGAGAAGCAGAGCAAAATGGAAAATATTATGGTGGTCCCATCCCATGAGTCATTTTAACCAAAGGGGGGAAACTAAACTTTTCAGGCCCCAAGGTAATATATCTTACAGTGTGCGGTGAGGTTAACAACTCAGAGGTTCTTAATCTTCTTTAATTCCTATGGTTTCGTGACTCACCCTCATCTGTCTCCCAGTAAGTCCTTCTTTTTTGCCAGTTTTTTCACATTTCTGGAATCATGTCAGAATTTCCCCGTGTATCTGTACTCCTAGGGGCACTCGCCTCCAATCTTTTTTGTCAGTCAGGGGTCACCTTACAGCAGGACCGAATTGCCCCTTCTTTTCCGACACGGCCCTTGCGTTTCAGCAGCTTCCCTGCACGGTGAAGATGCCCTTCCTGAGCAGGCGCACCCAGTGAATATCAAATCAGTATCAAATGCAGTGCTTCACAGCTTTCTAACTCATCTTTCTCCAAGTTCTGCAGTGCCCTGATCACAACATTAATCTGTAAGTTTCCAGGTGGGGTGAGGACAAGCAGTGAAATAAAAACCTTTTAAAGCCATCTTCCTCTCATTACCATGTATCTTCAGAAACATATAGGGGTTTACATCCATACCCCAAAGCCCAAAACACCCGTATTCATTCTGGCCTCTGCCCTTATTCAGAGAGAAGAAATCCCTGGTCATGACAAATGCCATTGAGCCCGATTTCCTCTCACACAGAAGTAGCCAAAGCAAGGCAAACGCGTTGGCTGAAAACAAGTTTGGTTGGCTCCAGACAAAGGCTTATTTTTTAAGCACAGATGGCTGCCTCCTCCACCAGTGGCCAGCAAATGAAAGACAGATTTCTACTTCTAGTCTATGCAAATGTCTTCCCCTGGGTGGCAACACAAAGACTATTTGGTGTCAGCACCCGCCCGCAGACCCCAGGTGCTCCAGGAGCTGAGCCAAGCCCAGCTCCACCTGAGGTCCTGGTAACGGGGAGCAGGGCTGGGAGAGTCAGTGCTGGCCCTGCTGGAGGACCAGGACACCTGGGGCCTCCCTGGGACCTTCCGCGAGAATCCCACCCCACCCACTGCCAGGACCTCAGATGCTTCCGGAACGTCCCAAGAGGCCTCAGATGTACAAAGGCTCCTGCCGACTACCACAGCATCCTTCCCCTGGACTTCCGCACATTTATTCCTCTCCAGTACCAAACCCAGGAAGCCCCAGCACCCACCAACACGATCTGTTCATACCAGCTGGCCTCGGAGCTCCAGACTTCATCCTCACAACCGCGCCACGGCCCTCAGCCTTCCCAAGGGTGTATGATTCTTTCTTTTTCTTTCTCCTGCCTTCCACTTTCATTATTTACTTTCAAGATTCTTTACTTTCGTATTTCTCCATTTCCTCTGCTTGCCTACATGTACTCCCTTGACACATTCCAATTTTAGGCAAACATTTTTGCAGTGTACACACACACACACACACACACGCACACACGCACACACACACTCCTACTAACCCACTTCCTAACTTTAAACATCGAAAAGCAGGTTATACCTGAAATCACATAGTGCAGTTCCAATGTTTAAGTCTACAGCAGTCTTTCAAAGCTTTAAACTTTGTTGGTTTTTCTGTTCAAATGACAGTAAGAGTCTGCTTCAGATCCTGTAGCAGAAAACACTTTTATCTCTCCCTATTAACTTTTATCTTAAATGTCCCAAGCTAAGCAAAAGAAATTCTAAAGCAAAAGGCAAAGTCTTCTCGACCCTATAACTACCTCCAAAACTTCTTACACTATACCTACCATTGAGATGGAAACATTTTTTGTGTCAGGTTATGAATGCAAACATTGCCAGATAATGCAGCTTTAAGTATCTTTATCTGGAAAATGTAAAAACTATAAGGAGTCCACTGATTTCCAAGTGATTTCTGGCAAGTGCCAGAACTATCGGAGGTGTTCTCTTTCTAGCCCTCGGTGTTTCCATTCAAAGCTCTGGAAAAGCTCTAGAATCCACACTTACAGTGAATGCTCTGGGCCCTGAGGCTGCGGGAGACCTGGTTTCTGAACATCCAGCCCCCCACAGCATCTGACCCAATGCAGCAGAGTCCTCTAAGACATTGCGGAGACCACAAAGTCTACACTACAACGTTGGGAGCTCTCCCTTCTATAAGCCTGGCTCCAATTTTATGTGCTCGCAGTTACTAGAAACCACGTTCTTTACTTGGGCCAAATAGCCAAAGTCTTTCAGGCCCTTGAACTTCCCTTGCCGAGGGCCCTAATTTCATGCTCAGGAGTTAACATAGTATTCCCCTCTCACCAAAGAATCTTCAGACACCTGAAGGCAGCCACTGTGCCCTTGAAGGCCTCGCTTTTCTAAGCTTACTCAACTCTTTAAGTTTATAAAGCTCAGTTTCTCAGTCCCTCCCCCTGTCAACCATTCTCCCTCCATTGCAGACCTCCAGAGTAAGTCTCTCTCGAGTAACACCATTTTTCTCGTAGACTTTTTTGTGATATGCACTAACCTATTCTCTGTACTTACCCTTGTCCCTGCTGTGTCATATTTAACCGTCCAAAAGCCAATAGTCACCAAGTACTTATTAACCTAACTCTATGTTCCTAGCACTGTGTAAAATGCCTGAGGGAGATTCCAAAGCCAGCAGGAGGACTTCATAATAAGAATTAGATAGGTGAGGTCACCTGAAAGCAGTCCAGGATGGTAGGTATCAGAGGGCTTCAAACAGCACCAGGAAAGAGGCGCAATTCTTGGTTTTGAGTCATGTGGAGAGCTACCACTTGGTGTCTATTTTCAGATGTACCATCTGTTCAATAATGGGTTTTAATATTAAAGGGAGGGCAGACTACCAGAAATATATATAACAACCTCAACTGCATCTTTATTCCAGAAATTTTAAATCCATAAAACAACGTAAGCGGAAGTCACGCAGAATACCCCTTCTGCACAGGTCGCTGGCTTCCCCTACCAAGTGCTCTGGAGCTCAAGATCCAAGAAAGGAGAAAATCAGAGGGTTTATGTGATTCCCTTCCCCAAAGGAAATACCCACTTGGTGGGAGGATCGCTGGGTATTTCCATGGAAAACTTACCAATAGGTAAATTTCAAGGACACCAACAAAAAGTACCTGTTTCAGCCAGTGAATCATAAACTATCAGAACATTATGGATTCTCACAAACCCTCCCATTATAGAGGAGGGAGGATAGCAGGTGGATTCTCCTAGGCACAGAAAAGTGGGCTAAGACCCCATTCGGTCCCCATTCTCTCCTCCTGAACCCGGGCAATCAAAACTCTTGCACTTGCAATATTTTCTTTCATAAGTTTACTCCCATCTTTATTTATCATCCTCCTCCTCAAATCCAAGGCAATCTGGTACATTTTGGGTGGATACTTTGAGGGAACAGGTGGACAAAACCTAGTAGGGGGTTAAATCATTATCAAATTCTAGCATATCTATTTTATCCACCATCCCCAACAAATATGCTGTCTATGCTGCTAGAGACAAAATTCCCAGGCTCAGGATCACAGCTGCCTCCCTGGGGTTGCAGGGAACCATGGAGTTAGCTATATTTTAGATTGCCACTGTGCAGGGCGACCCCAAATCAGCAGGCTCCATGCCCACTCCCCCACCGGAAGTTTCAGTCCAACCACACCCAGGCATGGAACTTAGGGGGGCTGCGCCTACCTGGTGGCCTCTTGCTGAAGCCATGACACATTTGGCACATAAAACATGACTCCGAAGAACAGCAGAGGCTCATTAGCGAATTTGTCCAGATGTTTCTTCAGTGGCTTCTCTAGCTCCACCCATCGGGCTTGCTGGCTCTTGCTGAGGAACCAAAGGCCAAAGTAGTGCGTCTGGATAAAAGGGAAGAAAATCATATCAGCTGGGGCTTAGCACAGGGATCCCAAGACCACACAGAAGACTGTTCTCCCAAGCCTGCGTCACCCTCAGCTCTTCAGCCTATACTTGAGGTCGGGATTCTATTTTCTAACCACAGGATAAACGGAAAACATCATGTCCACACAATGCCATGACCCCAGAAAGCCCCATATGCAACACGCCTGCCCAGAGCTGCGATTTGCAGCTCAGGCCCCAGTGTGGTACTCATGCTAGGTACAAGGTCCAGCAGAGTGAGCGCAGTGCTTTTCCCTAAGACACGAAGTCTGTCGTCCCAGCCCTTACACCTGCTGCAGATAAATTATCACCCAACTCCGCAGGCAAAACCTCCTGGCAGATGAAAACTTCTGTACTGAAGAATATTTGCACAGCACCAGATTTTAGCCAAAAATGTATTCACTTGATTTGAGCTTTAATGAAGACCTTGAGAAACACTGCCCAGACCACTTCATTATACATGAACTGCAGCAGATCCCTCCACCTATGCCACTCGGAGAAGGGAAGGCACCCTCCCTGGCCCTCTGTCTGTTCTTGGCAGCTTACAGTGGGATCTGATAGATGAAAGTGAGACTTTCACCCTCACTCTTGAAGCCTCAACCAGTTTAGTTTTGAACAGCACGCTAAATCATTTAAAACAGGGACTATTCTGCGCCTGATGTCGCCTTTATATTAATTCATGCTGGGATTTCAGGATTAGCACAGTAATCGCCCAATAAATAGATCAATTCTTTGAAGATTCTTTTGTATTTCAGTTATAGCCCTGAGTGGTTTACAGCACACCTAGAAAGCTTACCTTCTGAAGGATATTTGCATTGCATTGCTGAATTTCCAGAGTCACTTTCAGATTTCTGTTCCTGTCCCAGCTGCATACCAGAATTGATCTCTGCCCTGACCCTAACCCTAACCCTCCCTTGGCCAGAAAGCTGGGTAAGTCCTTGCCCATATGAAACCCAGATACACTGAAGGTTATTTTTAATGGATTTTTTTCTCATATGGACACAATGATTGCATCAGTTTTCTTCTACAAAGTTCCAACGGGTACATTCATAGCAGAAATCTAGACATTTTTCAAGCTACTATATTTCTACCAACTTAGGCAAACTTGCTTGAGTGAATTTGAACCCTGCTGCACAGTTCTGAGCTTTTGGGAGTCCACCAGTTGTTCCAGTAACTGTGATGACATCCAGAAAATGGACTGCAGCTGACTACAAAGAAAAGTTCATGCAAGTTCATGTCCCAGCTCTTGTGCTGCACACCTCAGGAGCTGGGTGCAAGTCACTGAGCCCCAGAGACTCAGTCTTTGAATCTGTAAAATGGACAAAGGCTGTGTGAGGTGCACAAATGAGATAACGCCTAAGAAAGTACATCACCAACAATGCCTTCTATGGCTGCTACTCCCCCACCATCATCATCGTCGCCCTCATACTGGTGAATGGAGGCAGGTGGGAGGTCCCATGGATCTTTCTCATCAGCACGGCTGGTGTCTCTGTTGCCACAATTCGGATCTGGGATGTCCCCAAAACACCTGGTGTAAAGAGCCTAGTCCCCTGCCTCACTCTATAGGAGGGATCGCTAGAGGCAGAGGCCAGTGAGACGTCCGTAGGGGTCCCTTGAAGGACTGTGGGACCCTAAGCCTTTTGCTTCTCTTTTGCAGACACCCAAAGCAACAGACTAACTGGCAGAGCACTTGAACCTCTGAAGCCATGAGTCAAAACATAAATCTTCTCTCTTAAGGAGCCGATTATCTCTGGCACTTGTTATACTTATGGAAAGCTGGCCGAAATGCTTATGATCCACACAATTAGAAAACAGGATTATCTGGAAGTAAATGACAAGAAGCAGACAAAAGTACAAGCTAGATGGGCCGGGAATTTAGATCAGCGTTCCACCGCCTGCCTCACAAGCGCAAGATCCTGTGTTTGACGCCCAGTACAAACAAACAAAAAGAAGCTAGACCAACTCTAAATAACACAAAGAGATGTAAGAAAAATAACCACAAAGCAGTGGTGCCCCTGAATTCTTCTTCAGAGTCTTATTATAGGTGTTTATGGGGCAGTGGGACAGAAATCAGGGATGGGTGACACCGGCTTCCACTCTGAACGGGGTCCCCTGGCACTGGCAGCTCCACATCACACTGAATTCCTGCATGGAAGAAAAAGCCATAAAAGGGTCTCCCACTGCAGGCTGGATGACATGGAGTGTCTGCATGTAACGAATGAGGTAACAGAAAAGAAACCATAACAAGCGACATCATAATTATTATGGCTGGAAAGAAGCCTTTTCCAAGATGGGTGGGGGAAGGGAAGGCAAGCTGCACAACTGCTTACCCAACTAATTGTGATTTATTACCTCTCACTAAGAGTAGTTCTGACATTCAGGGGGTATTTTTATGGTCCACGCTTCATTCCAATTATACTATTCATGCAACCATGTACATTCAACTGACTTTTTTCCAGAAAGAAATTAGTATTTTTACTGCTATTGTGCCTTGAAGGAGAGCATTTCCACCCATTTAAGATAATGACAGGCTGGGGATGTAGCTCCACCTGCCTCGAAAGCACAAGGACCCAAGTTTGATCCCTGGTACCAAAAAAAAAAAAAAAAAAAAAAAAAAAAAAAAATAAAATAAAAAAAAAAAAAAAAAAAAAAAAAAAAAAAAGATAATGAAGAGACCTGACTTTGTGCAAAAAACACCCCAAGAACAAGACACATTCCTTGGAGTGCACACATACGCACACGCACACACATGCACACACGCGCACACACACACACACGTGCACACACAATGATGAGATCCAAGAGAACTCAGAGTAAAGTAACATCTTGGGCTACAGTAAACAGCATAGAGTTCTAAAGAACAAAGCAAGCCACTCATGGAAAAACCTAATTTCTGGCATAATGTTTTTTTGTTGCTCAAATACAGGATTTTCCACATGACACAGAGCTCCACAGAGGGAAGCACCTCGCTCTCACCCAGGGGACAGCTGTGTGAGGACTCAAGGGCTGGGCTTCAGGGAGGAAGGGGGAACGGGGAGCAGGCAACCCACAGCGCACAACCCACCCCTCCTGTGGGTGCCGTGCCTGCCTGCTCTCCTGAGGAGGGGCCCATGGCACAGGGTGCGGCAGCTGTGCCTCGTTAGCCGTCCCCACCCCGCCCTGCTGTGTTCCTCTCCCTACACCAGCTTCGTCCCCGCTGCAGAGCAGGAAGACCCTGCCTCCAAGCGTGTCTCTGGCCTCCGGTCCAGCTCAATCCGCCGCTCAACTCTGCAGGAGAGCACAGTGGCCTTGCGTGGTGTCCACACAGCGCCCCCAGGAAATGGAACCGCAGACAGCTGTGCGCCCCGCCCATCTCCCCACATGGTCGGGCCTGGGCACCCCGTCTAGAGCAGCAGGGCCACCCCAGGCCGCTCTGTAAGTCCAGCTCTTGCTCGGCTTCGTTAATTAAACTTCGCTGCTCAGTGCTGCCACAGGATTGAGAAAATGTGGCCGAGGGTTCCACACAGGGGCCACCTCCGTGACCAGAAGATCTCAGTGGGTCCTCGAGGAATGCCCAGAGCCTGAGCTGCAGGCCAGAGGAGCAGATGGAGCCAGGCCGCTGACTGCCACAGAGGAAGAAATCCACTTCTTCTCTAGCTTGGGAGTCACAGCACTGGCGCCAAGGTTTATTGCAGTGATGAGAAAAGAAGAGAAGACAGAGAACCAGTTCCTATGGGGAGCAGCGAGGCGCTGAAATGCAGGAAAGGGAAAGGGAAAGGGGGATCCGGTGCCCAAGAGGCCGAGGCAGGAGGATCATAGCATGAGTCTGAGGCCAGCCTGAACTACTACGTATCAAGACTCTGTCTCAAAAAGCAAAACAAAACAAGCCTATTGAAAATAACTCGGAGTAGGGCCAGGGATGTAACTCTGTGGTGCCACTGCCTGCCTCACAAGCACAAGGTCCTGAGTTTGATCCCCAGTATCAAAAACAATAAAAAAAAATGCCAGGTGGTCGGTCGGTTGGTTTGGTTTTGGTGTTTCTGTCTTTGCATAGCCTCGGGCCTGCTAAGCAGTGCTCAACTGCCGAGCCCCAGCCCCCGCCTGGCAGTCTGTACATTTATCAGCTATTACTCTCAGCCTGGCCTACGTCTTTCTTGGAACACTACTACCGACTAGAAGTATAACGTGAGTCTCACATTCATTCAATTTTAAATTTTCTAGTAGCTACGTTTAAAAGTACCAACAGGTGAAATTAATTTCAGTAAATTTTACTGAAAAATGTTGTACTTAAAATATCACCTCAACCTATCATCGATAAAAAAGTAACTGTTGGGTATTTAGAGAGAGAGAAAGCCCACCAAAAAATAGACACAAACTTCAGGAAAAGAAAAACAGTACGGTTCATTTTAACAGATGATGTCAGCCCCAAGAAGACCTCGGATGTTGCAGAAAACCCAGTACCGTGCGGGCCCTCAGGGAAGCTGAAAATGCAGGCACGGCAAGCTCAGTGACCAAGGTCACCCATGCAGCAGCTCACCACGCTAATAAACGTCTGGAAGCTCACAGCTACCACCCTGAGCACCTCTGTCACTATAGAGGCCAAAGGTAACTTGTGTTAATGTCATGATGTCTCAATAAAATTGGTATTAAAATATACAGCTTTTTCTTTTCCTGAAGTGTGCATACAAATCGGCAGAATACATATACATGTATATATGTTTGTTTGTTTGGAAAGTCTCATTGTGTAGCCCAGGCTGGCCTCAGACTCACAGCAATCCTTCTGTCTCAGCCTCCCAAACCTAGGGATTACAGGTGTGCACCACCACACCCACCTTAATTATTGCCTATTTCAATTCTTCTTTTCCATACTAAGCCTTCAATGTCTGGTGTGAGTAGTGCACGTAGCACATACTGAGTCACACAGTTCAAGTGCTTGCAAGTAGTATGTGGCCACCATGTTGGGCAGAGTGGGTTTTTCTGCTTTGTCTTGGTTTTGGTCCTGGGATCAAATACAGAACCTTCACACTGAGCTACATATCCAGGCCTATTTCCTTTTTTTCTTTTTTCTTTTTTTTTGGTACTGGGGATTGAACTCCGGTCCTTGCACTTGCAAGGCAGGCCACCGAACCGCTGAGCTAAATCCCTGGCCCCCAGGCCTATTTCTATATTTTTTACTTTGACACAGGGACTCAGTGAGTCACAAAGCTGGGCCTGAATTTTGTTTTGTTTTTGATTTTTTGAAGCAAGGCCTCGCTATGTAGTCCAGGCTGACCTTGAATTCATTACATAGCCCAGGCTGGCCTTGAACTCGCAGTGATCCTCCTGCCTCAGCCTCCCAGAGTGCTGCTGGGCCGTGCCATTTCTAATGACTCTTCAAGGAGTTGAAGACTTAGCTATTTTGGCTCAGTATCAAATCACTGTTTCTAATTATTAAAACCACCTAAAAATGGAACAAGCAGACACAAAAGAAGAGAGTCCAGCTGCTGTCTTGAAGTTTCAGGGCTGAGAAGTCACATGGCATCTTCAGATGGCAGGTGTAGTGCCAGGCCCTGTGACACGGGGGCCCCTGCACAACCAATTCTGACTGTGCCCCATGGGGCACTGAGGCTGCTGCTACGGCCCCTCCATCCTCAGGCCTGAGGCCCGGGCAGTGAGTCACTGCACAGCAACTGGGGCACAGCGGCAGAGCCAGGGTACACTGCAGTCTGAGCCCCCTGCAAGCCACCAGCCTCTGCATACCCTTCCCTGTTCCTGACTCGACCACAGCCTGTTTATCTCAGTGGTCACCGAGCAGCAAGCGACCGAAGGGTGAGCAGGGCCGACAACCCGACTGGCAGTGCACATACTTCCAATCACCCGCGGCTCAGCAGCGGGCAAGTTTGGGTTTAGAGTGGACCCTTGAGTTACGCCTGGCCTGACATACAAACAACTTGGGTTATGACCAGCATTTCAGTTTTAACTTACAACCAAAGTACTGAATTACAACCTGAATGTTGGCTGCTTTTGCTTCCAGATGGCCTCAGAAACAGATTTAACCCTTAAACAGTCAGGAAGGAACATGACAGTATCCTTTCCTGTGTGGTGCTGAGAAAGCCTGGGCCAGTGTCTCTCTCAGGACACTGAGATCTGCCTGTGTACTGGAGAGACTCTGAAGGCTCTGGAGAGGAGCCCAAACCTTCACTGACCAACCTGAATTGCAACCAGCCCTTGCGAACGAAATGAGTTTGCAATTCAAGGGTCCACTCTATTCTCCCTCACCCTAGCACGCTCGTATGGTGGTAACAAACTGTCAGCTACTGATTCTAAAGGGACTTGCCACAGAAACACAGTACGTCCCACACAGAGTGACACCGCCATGCCAGGTTCCTCGGGAGCAGTTCCAGGACCGCCTCAGAAACAAATTCCCTAACAGCACATCACCCTCTAGTAAGCGATACCTACCCTCCTGCAGACTGTCTTCCTCAGCTGACTTCACAGTCCTAACACAATGCACACTAGAGGGCAACAGCTGTTATACTATACTGCTGGAGAAATAATGACAAGGAAAAAGTTTGCACACCCACACTAGAAAAGCAATTTTTCCCGGAATATTTTACATCTGTGGTTAGTTGAACCCACAGATGAAACCTGTACAGAGGGTGGGCCAGCGATGTTTATTTTTAAACATGTGACTTTCAAACGGAGATGAGGTTCCAGAAGCTGTGCCTCCTGTCTTGGGAACAGTGCTCTGTATACAGCATCGTCCCCCCAAAATTTCACTCGGAGAAAAAAGCCGAGCTGAACCCGCACATGCAAATAGGCTACCACTCCAGCACCAGAATTCTGTTTTTGTGAGTCCTTCCTTCCCTTAAATTTCCTCCTTAATAAAGTTCCCAAACAGAAACTCCTACTTAAAAATTTTTACCTTAAAAAACAATTTAAAAGAACAAGCACATTGGGGCTGGGTGTTTACTGCAGTGGTACCATGCCTGCCTCGCAAGCACAAGGTCCTGAGTTCGATCCCCAGTACCAAAAAACCACAAACAAGCACGTTTTCCTAAGAAGTTCTCCTTTCTTCTGGCCAGGATCCCTGCTGGCCACTCCGCCCCTCCTGTCCCTCACCCGAGCCCCATTCTGTCCTGCGCTCTGTCCAGCTCGCCATGACCTCTGACCGCCTTCCGGGCAGTCTACCTCCCCGCCCAGCTTGGGAGTTTATAGGGCCCATGAGGGGTGGGGGGGGGCCCTCCTGGCAGAGCCCCCGCTGCCCTCTTCTTTCTCCTTTGACTCCAGAACTCAGGAGAGTGGACCCCAGCTTGGACGCCCTGCCCATGGGGGAGCAGCCTCAGAGCCTGCCAGTGTCGTGTCTCCAGGCCCTGTCTGTAAAGCAGGCGCAACAAGCAGAGGACAGACGTGTGGGAGAATTAAGACATTCAGGGTCTGCTCTGCACGCCGCAGTGAAAGGGAATGAGGTTCTGATTATCTGTCACGTATTTTACAAGTAGGATCTACTGAAAACTGATTTTTAAGACATCTGGGTTTAAACAATTATAAATTACTGGACAGCACTACACATTTCCCACACAGTACCTATTTTAAGATTCACAGCAGCCCTATGACACAAGCACCATCACTCCCACTTCACAGATGTGAAAACACACTCAGGAACTTCCTAAGGCCACGCAGCTAGAAAGTGACAGCACCAGTATGAATCCAAGGCCACACAGCCTGCGCCTGTCCCTTAGCCACCTTATCTACCCTCCCGGTCTGGGCACACAAGTGACGCTTGATTGCGTGCTACAAAAGTAAAATCACTGCGCATCTGTGAAAATTTCACACGAGACTTTAGATGAGTGTTCTGCCCCTACCCGCAGCAGCAGGGTCTCCCTTGGTGCCCTGCACATGTGCAGATGGGCGTTTAAATTTGTGCCCTGGTGCGATACCTGTGAGCAAAGGGTGCACCGAGCCAGAACAGGTCACACTGCCCAGAAAACGAACCTCGAAGGCTGCCTGGTCTCTGAAACCAGTCTCTGCACCAAGAACAGCAGACAGGAGCCCGAGTAGGGTGACAACTAAGAGGTGGCCAGAGCTGCCACTCAGGCTGGACCGACCAGGGGCTCTTGGCAGGAGTCCAGAGCCACCCGCCGCCCACAGGCTCCCTGCCACTTGCCTTCAGGGCTCCTGCTGCTCTTCTTAAAGAGGAAAATATAGAAACAAACAAAAGGCAGCCGCTGCCGCCCGGAGTGGGCGTTTTCCCCATGACGCCAGCCACAATGCCAAGCTGCCGACTGTTCCGAGGACAGCGCCCTTGGTGGGCGCATGCTCACGCCCCTCTGCAGCCTCCTGCCTGCCTGGGAAGCTCCGGGCAGGGTCCCCGCTCCTCCACCTGAGAACTCCAGCCGAACCCGCACCCGCTCACCTCGCGCAGCTCCAGCCTCTGCGCCACGGCCTCCAGGCACTCCTGGCCCGTGCTCTCCACCGACAGCGTGCACTCGATGACGCTGCTGTCCAGCAGGCGGATGCGGGTGACGAAGCAGTTCTTGCTCAGGACATTGTAGCGCCGCGTGCGGCGGAGCTTCAGGCCGAACGGCATGGCTGGGCGCTCTCAGTCCGCGGGGCCTCAGCGGCTTCGGGCCTGGG